CCCACTAGAGCCCTTATACTCTGATATCCCTGCTACTGTCTGCTGTATTGTTGGCACCCCCAGCCATTCCCCACTACTTGCCCTTCTGCTGAATCTAGTCAGCCTCTCTAGAGGTCTTTGTTTTAGGAGGGTCAGCTGTTCCTCATTTAGCAGTAATCAGTTGTCAATAGTCCTTTAGATAAAATTGGAGTCTGCTGTTCATTTTCCAAGTTCTATGCTGGGTTACTATCTGGGAGTCCCTTGGGCCACCCTGGTCAACAACTCAAAAGAAGGTATTGCCTGTCTGGCGTTGGTGCTTGTTATGTAGCCTTTAGCTATACATATGGACTCTTAAATTATATTGGCCCCTTTAATCTTTGGTTATACTATCCTTTTGGATGTTTAAGGCCATACAGTTGGCTCAGATGAATGAAAACCAGAGGGAACCATATTACTCCTACAACCTACTGACAAATTATACATAGCAGATCAAGAAATATATGTCTAGGTAAGGTTTATCTGAGAACAACTGGTCTTTGCCCAAGATTTATCTACATGACACATAGTAACTAAAAGTACCAGACTGGTAGAACTAACCTTCTTGGATGTTTAACAGCCATACTTTGAGGCCTATAATAATTTGGTCAGAGGGACATAAAGGACAGTTTTTGCTCCTTGCCCTCCTAGGTCAACTAGTTCCACGGGACTATGAGCATCTCTCAAAATGTCCTGTAATGGTGGTGGGTCACCTGTCTTTTTTTGTTGTTGTTGTTGTTAAAATACCTTGCTCATCATGCAGCATTCTCCTACTAAGGATCTGCACATTTAAAAACCCACTATACTCCCTGACTATGTGGATGTGGAGAAAACTCAATGAGCACCTTTCCTTTTCAATATGCCTGAGTAATTATCTGTGCTAATAAATGATAATCTAAGCATAATTCATATTTAGTCTAAAAGGAAATTCTAACTTCATCTTGGTACATTTTTTTTTCACTAATCATGACTGATCTATCAAAATCATCTTAGGAACACAAAAAATGAAGAATATTAGTCACAGGTCAATGTTATAACCAAGAAGACATGGACTTAGAAGACTTGAGCTTCTTATATTCCCATCAGATCTAACCAAGGAATTGAAGGGCTTGTATAATAAAAACTTTAAGACACTGAAGAAAGAGACTGAAGAAGCTACCAGAAGATGGAGAGAACTGCCATGGTCATGGATTGGTAGAACTGAGATTGTTAAACTAGCCATCCTACCAAAAGTTATCTACAAATTCAATGCAATACTCATTAAAATTCAACACAATTCTTCATAGAAACTGCAAAAATAACCTCAATTTCATATGGAAACACAAACACTCAGAATAGTCAAAATAATTCTGAATAATAAAAGAAGTGCTGGAGGTATTACCATCCCTGATCTCAAATTATACTACAGAGCTACAATAATAAAAGCAGCAGGGTACTAGCATAAAAACAAACACATTGATCAATGAAATAGAATTGAGGATGAAGATTTAAATCTACACATTTACAGCCACCTGATTTCTGTAAAAGGAGCTGCAAATATACACTAGAGAAAAGACAGCATGTTTAACAAATGGTGCTGGTCAAACTGCATAGCTGCCGGTAGAAAACATAAATCAGATCCCTGCCTCTCAGGTACAGTATCAGAGGTCTGCAAAGTGACTTGGGATGTAAGCTTCAACAAGTTGTGTAACTTTTTATGTTGTGGTTTTCTTGTCTATAAAATGGGGGTAATAATTGTGTTAAAATTAAGTACTATGAACCAAAACCCTGAACTTAGTGCCTAATGTGTTACTATGAGTTAAAATAATATTACTATTACGCTTCCTTTTTTAATAATATTTTATTTATTATTTTTATTTTATGTGTATGAGTGTTTGGCTGCATGCATGTGAGTGCACCCGTGTCGTGCAATGCTGCAGAGGTCAGAAGAGGGCTTCGGATTCCCCTGGAACTGAAGTTAAGGATGGCTCGTAGCTGCCATATGGGTGCTGGGAATCGAACCTGGTCCTCTCCAAGAGTAGTCAGTGCTCTTAACTGCTGGGCCACTTCTCCAGCCCCTATGCTTCCTTTTTTGAATGGATAAGAAAGTGTGATGTGCATGCATGTTCACATGTGTGGGAGTACACATGCATGTGGAGGCCCAAAGTTGACACTGTCTTCCTTGACTGTTCTCCATCACTTTATTAGTTTATTCTTCTTTCTCAAGATGGGGGTCTCACTATGTAGCCCTTGCTGGCCTGGAGCTTATTATATAGATCAATCTGGCCCTGAACTCACAGAAATCTGCCTGCCTCTGTCTCCCTAGTGCTGGGATTAAAGGCATGTACCACCATGCTGGGCCTCTACTTTTTAACTGAGGCAGGGTCTCTTGTTGAACCCAGAGCTTGCCAATTCCATCTTGCTAGTCAGCTTCCCCTGGCAACCCCATCTCCACCTCCTGAATGCTGGGATTACAGGTGGCTGCCAAGCTTGCCAGGCTTTTATATAGGTTCTGAGGATCTGAATTTTGAGTATCATGCTTGTGGGTCAAGCACTTTTATCCACTGAGCCATCTCCCTAATCGTACTGTTCCTTTAGATCTATACTTTATTTACTCATTAATTTGAGACAAACTAATTTGAAGCTAAGAAAGCAACTCAGGTCCTTTGAATAGATTTGGTTTCTAGACCTTGATTCCTCTAGTATTTACTATGTAGTGTACTCAGGTAAAAAAGAATAGCAAGCACAAGATAAAAAGGTATATGGAATATGAAAAGGTATATTCCATTCATGTATTAAATACATAATGAAGCTCACTAATAAAGACCATGAAAAGTTCAAAGATAGCTAAAGGAAGGTATTTTAAATCTCCTCTTCAATAATACCACTTGTCATAAATTCAATAAATCTGCTGCGTAAGCAGTCAGTTTTCAAAAGGCTTCATATAGTGTTTGAAACCTAGTCATATCCTAGCACCTCTGGTCTAGTTTCAACTTCCAGTTCTTGTGTAGTTTGATTTACTCTAGCCTACTCGTAACTCCTTGCACTGACTCAGAACCTTAACATGTTCCACAACTGCTGACCATAACAAAACCTAATGGCTGATATCTGAGTCATGTGACTAAGTTCCCCTTTCACTTTTTCTTTAAAGTACCCAGTCCATACCCCACCCCATCCAAAGCCAGATGCTCACAGGCCTTCAGAAAGCCACTGATCCTCTCATCCTCTTTTTTCTTTTTGGCATCCATGTCCATCTTCTCCCTCTCTGTGTCTACCCTGCTTCTGTCTTCACCCACTGGTTGATATACCTTGTTGTATCCAAACTTCCTATGAACATGCCTCATCTTTATAGATGTGGAATGAAATGCCTTATGTCCTGTGTTTTGCTGTTCTGTTTCCATTGTGTCTCACCTGACCAACAACACAGGCCTATCCCTCCTTCCAGTGCTCAGCAAGAATACAGGTCTGTCAAGGAACTGGGTACATATCTGACAAAAGCCAGCATAAACAAGTTTCCAGTGACAAAGACACCTAACTTATGAGTTGGACACTTATTACACACTGGGTCATCTGCCAAGGTGAAGAAATTACCCTGGAAGCTGAATAGCAAACACCCAGGTTCAACTCCCCTGAGCCCCAGCAGGGCAGGACTAGCATTTGTAACTACTCTTCAGCTACCTCAAGGCCAAAACAGAAAGAAATCATACCACCAATTATCAGAGCAGCTTAATTCATTTTTATGTTTGTTCATTTAATATATGAAATAGAAGACCCACCACCATCTCTCTAGTCTAATATAAAATGTTCAGTAGTAATTATAATTTAGTAGCCTTGGTACTCAGAATAGGCTGTTAAAATAAAGAGACTATAATTCAATCAAGTTTGTTTTTTTTTTCAGGTAAACATCGCCGACAAAAATATGTAGTTCTAGGCATTTAAAATTAATTAAACATATGGCTGGAGAGATGGCTTAGTGGCTAATAACACATACTATTCATTAGGCGGAACCTGGTTTGGTTCCTAATACCCACATCAGACAATTCACAACTCCTGATCTCCAGCTCCAAGGTGATATGATGTCTCTGGCCTCCAATGGCACTTGCACTCATGGACATATACCCACACACATGTGGTATGCATACACACACACACACACACACACACACACACACACACACAAAATTAAAAATATAAAAATAAGGTTTTTTTGAGACAGGATCTCCCTGTTGCTCCAGCTGGCCTAGAGCTCACTATGTAGACCAGGCTGGCTTTGATTTCATACAGATTCACTTGCCTCTTGCCTCTTGAGTACTGGCATTAAAGGCATGCACCACCATGCTCAGCATAAACATAAATCTTAAAAATTTAAACATATTCTTTGCATGAACATTTATAACAATTAGTAACATAAATCAACACCATAGGAGTTCAATTATGATATTAAAAGTTTTCTCTAGGAAACAGTGAATAAAGAAAATAGGTATTTATTGGAAACTTAAAAATAACTACATAATAATCTTAGCCATCCATCAGAGATTTAATAATAAATGATCAGTCTTTATAGTCTTTCAAAGGAAACTGAACTTACTTGTATCTAACGGTCTGCACAGTTTCTGCTGAAACATTCCTAACAATGCATTTAGCTGCACATTCCAATCCTTGCCAGACAGTTGAAAATCCTGCAAACATAATTAAAAGTCAGTCTGGCACAAAGCAGCCTTTCTTGGGCAGTGCAGTGACAGAATGCCTGCCCAGCATGCACCAAGCTTTGGTTTAATCCCTAGCATTGCTGAAAATAGAAATAAAAGAATAAAATAAAACCAAGTGCCTTATTTTACCTTGAACACTACTTGCTGCAACCACCATGGCACCATCAAGCGTAGATTTTCCATCTTTGTCTCTTTTAAGAGATTCTGGAACAAGTTTGCTTCCATGCTTCTTGACATGGGGAGCCAGTTCTTTTCCAACACAATTTGCTACAGTGCAGACTCCATCAACTAAACAACCATAAAGAAAAGATTCAGAGAAATTGTTGTTCTCTACATTTTACCACTTGCATTTAGCACAATTCCTAAATGACCATCTAAAACTGCTTTTACTGCAGAACATTACCATTTCTATGTAAGGGTGAGAACTTGGGTGGACTATTTTTTTCTTGGTCTTTTTGAGACAGGGTCTCCCTGTAGCCTCAGCTGGCCTGGAACTCACTATGTAGACCAGACTGGCCTTGAACTCACAGAGATCCACCTGCCTCTGCCTCCCGAGTGCTGGTATTAAAGGCGTGTGCTACCACGCCCGGCTAGGTGGACTATTTTTAAACAAAGGTTATCAAGTAGTTTGGAGATGCATTTGCAGGGTCTAGTCAAACTCTGCCCCTTGGATATACATATTCTTCTTGAGAATTCAGTTTAAAAGAAAACCAGTCACTTGTATTTTTTTCTCAATAAATGAAGGTTAAGTGACAAAAAAGATAATCTTCCTGAATCTAAAATAAATTAAGTGAGGACCTCTCCTACCACATCAAAACATAATCTTTCCGTGCTGTGATTCTAAAGGAAGATGGTGCTAGGACCACCGAATCAGCTTTTCTCAGACCTTCCCTGTCACCCCTCAACTGTTACCCAGTGAGTGCATCATCTTTCTCGCATAGACTGAAAATAGCAAATCCACGGAGAACTTTCAAAAACACATTTTCTGCTCTCCAACACATCAAAACCACCCCTTACTCTGTTTCTCAAACTTTAATATACAAATAGGGATCACAGAGGGACCATAAAAATCTCAGATTCTGAGGCTGTTAAGTATGCCTGCCTGGTGCCTGACACTGAACATTTCTAAGGCTCCCAGGCAGGTTGTACTCTGGACCACAAGTCCAACTCTGGGTAATCGTGGGACCATCCTGTCCTCTTTCTTTCTTTGTGAAATTAAATTATGGAAACCTATATGTAGACTGACCATAGTGAATAAATTTTAAATTTAGCTGAAAGGAAGCAGAATCATCTCAAGGTACTTTACCCAGGAACTGACTGACTTTCGCTGCTCCTCCTGTAGCCTGCTTTGCTATATAAAGTCCCCTGGTGACAGCTGGACTAACTTCCACTGGTTTTTCCTCTGGTTGAATTCGTTCTCGAAGTTTAGAAGCACCTTTCTGGATTGCTTTGCCAGTAAATTCAGCACCCTTGACCAAACCCCAACTCACCCAGGAAGCACCTTTGTAAAGGAAAATGTAAAATCACATAGTGGGAGAGTCAACATTTTGACAGAAAATTCAGAACACAACAGTGGGGGAATGGAGATGAGGAATGAAATTTCAAGAGACAGGAAAATAATTTTATGTACATGGTTATTTGATACTTTAGGGATTCCTGAAGCTCTTTGTTGCCAATTTTCCCAAGAATAAAACAGATGCTATGAAGTCTGTATACTTATACAATATATGATGTTCTACAAAACTAGTTCCTTCAACTTTGCAGCATTTAAAATTGTTTATTTAAAATGAAAATACAAATAATTATCATTCTAACCACTCCCTTAAAAGCAATACTTTTCTCAATATTTTAAATTGGTTATTTAAAATGAAAATACAAATAATTATCATTCTAACCATTCCCTTAAAAACAATACTTTTCTCAGTATTTTAAATTAGTTATTTAAAATGAAAATACAAAGAATTATCTTTCTAAGTACCCCCTTACAAACAATACTTTTCCTGGCTTCCAAAATTTCATGCTACAGGGGGAAAATTTACCAGTACCTGACAAAATGTTGTGAGCAACTTTTTCACTCCATTCAGGTAATTCTTTTGCTTTTTCTTCTGAAATTGGCTCACAGGGTACAATGTGACTCAGATTAACTTCTTCACTAGAAGCATCTTTAGTCTAAAGAGTAAAAATGTTTCAAGATATTAGTTAGCTAAGACTAAGGGATGAAATTATAAGCATTATATAATATTAACCCAACAAGTATTAGCTATGATTAATAAAACCATCAACCTTATTAATGTCTTAAAATATTCCCAAATACAGTTCAGAATTGCCATGAAGTTGAAATGGTCTGATTTTCTATAAGCTCCCACTGATAAAATTCAAGTTTCAAAATTCAAGTTTCAATTCAAGTGCTGATATAGCATTTACCAAATCGTATTTGAATCAGCTAGCCTTCTTTGTTCTTTGACTAGCTTGTGAGTTATGTCATACAGATGTTATCCCTGGAGAGTTGTATGTATGTGTCAGTCAAGTTAAAATATTAAATGATACAACCAATAAAGAATGATATGGATATATATGGACATATATATATATACACACACACACACACATATCCTGGTTTTATACAAGTAAAATAAAATCTGATTTGAAACAAACAGTTTCAAATATATATAAACAATGACCTACCTGCCATTCCATTTAAATGGAAATGGGGGTGTCATAAAAACAGTAGTAGTCCACTAACTTAATAACTGTTATTATTTTGGTTAACAACCAAAACCTCAAAGCCAAATTAATCCATTTTAAGAGCAGAAAAATAGGCTCATGTAGACCTCAAAGTATTAAAAAATTACTTGAAAAGTCAAAGATTTTCTGTGCCCAATGGATTAAAAGACCTTGACTTAAAATATACAAATTAGAGGATTACTAAGCAAAAACAAATGCTTATCTATGGGAAGAAAAGCCTCCTATCAGTAAAATCTAGAAAAAATATGGGCATAATATTATACCTTCTCCCTCTGGCAATGGATCAATGTCTCTAACATATTAAAAACTGGAATCTATGAAGAAAAAGGACTAATAATGCAATAATAAAATGGATATTAATAGAAAATAGAACAAGAGACCTTTAAGTATTGATGCTCAGCATCATTCAGAACATAATTAATTTAAACTAAGATATATATCCTAATATACAATTTCTCATCTATCAATTACCAAAATACACAAAAAACATTGGCCATTTATTCTTCTTGACCAGACTATGAGGAAATTCAGTACATACCTAAAACCACAGACAGAACTAAATCCTACAGATATTAACACTAAGTTTTTCCCTCTATATACGTACCTGTGATAAAGTTTACAAGATTAACAACAATAAAGTAGAATACTTATAATAATTTTGCTGTTGTAAAACATTGGAACACACTACTCCAAATGGTGCTCAATTTAAAACTTAAGTCTATTTCTGGAACTTTTCATTAATATTTTCAGACTGTGGCTGACTCTGACTAAAAACATAAAGAGTGAAGCGTGAATACCACACTGTACACTCACATAACTGCCAGTGAGAGTAAACAGTAAAACCCTTAGTGAGGAAATTGATCACAAATGCATTTCCTTTTTGACTCAAGAATCCCACAGTTTATCTAATTACCTACACATCTGAATCACTAGATCTGTAAATTATTTACTGAAGCTTTATTTGTAACAGTATCATGTCAAATATCTTACAGTAAGAAAATGGCACAGCAACTATGATATATTCACAGAATAAATGAAAAGTAGCTGTAAGAGCAAAGCAATTCTCTACCGGAAAGATGTCCAAAGTACTATCAAATGGAAAGAAAACAACAAAAAACAAAAAACCAGGATACTCTACATAGTACATTTCTCTTTTCTATATAGAAGAGGGGTTAGTTGCTTCTTTCTGCCAAAGGAAGTCAGGAAAAATAGCTAAGGTATTAATAAAAGTGATCACCTACACTGATGAGTGAATGATGTAGGACAGGGACAAGGTGGGAGTAAAGCTTTGCTTTGAATATGCTTTTAAATTACTTAATCATTTGTTTTTTTTCTAACCAAGATATTCTGAAAAAGGAAATTCTACTGCCATGGACGAATCCCAAATATATTGTTAAATAAAAAAAAAGAAGCCCAAAATAGCACGTTTTGGATAAAAATTATGTGTTCATCTTTTTTACTATAAATAATCACATTTGGAGGGGCAGTAAGGTGAGAACCATGTGAGCTAAATGACTGAAAAGGTAGGCAGACTGACTTCCTACTGTACATCCTTTGACTTGGTTTCTTGTAATTAACTCTTTTTTTTTTTTTTTTGAGACAGGGTCTCACTATGTAGCATAGAACTCTCTATGTAAACCAAACAAGCATCATAATCATAAAGATCTACCTAACCCTGTCTCCTGAGTGCTGGGATTAAAGGCGTGCACCACCACGCCCACCCTTGGCCATGTTTTTAAAAGAATATTTAAAATAAAATTTATATGACCAGAGTCCCAGGAGTTTGTAGGGCTCTATTTCCATACAGTCATGCACCTCCTCTCTGGCTCTTACAATCTTTACGCCCCCTCTTCTGCAATGGTCCCTGAGCCCTGGGTAGGTGAAGTTTAATATAGGAGTCCTGTCCAAGAACCAACATTCTACAGACTTAATCTCTACACTTTGGCCATTTGTGACCTTTCATGTTCCTGGTCCTCTGTTGCATGAAGGAGTTTCATTAATGAGAGCTGAGAGATTTATTAGTGACCTCTTTACCCTTGTTCTATGTTCTGTGAGCCTTAGGTGTAGAGAGGTTGCATTTTTAGATGTGTCACTTAGGCCTGGGCACTTCATAAACAGGTCTGTGTGTAACCACTTGTGGTAATGTCAGCATACTCAAATCCCATGGAAACTCAAGTGACAAAAACCAAGCATAGAACTGGGGCTGGGAAAATGGACAGCAGACCCCAATCTTAGCTGAAGAAATAGTGGCAACTGATTACTGCTAGGTGAGGAAGAACTGATCTTCTTCTTTTTAAAAACATTTTATTTATTATTTTTATGTTATGTGTATGAGTGTATTGCCTGCATGAATGTGAGTGCACCCGTGTCGTGCAATAATGTGGAGGTCAGAAGAAGGTTTCGGATTCCCCTGGAACTGGAGTTAAGGATGGTTTGTAGCCACCATATGGGTGCTGGGAATCCAACCCAGGTCCTGTGCAAGAGAAGTCAGTGCTCTTAACCACTGAGCCATCTCTCCGGCCCCAGAGCTAATCTTCTTAAAGAGAGGGACTCTAGATAGGTTGACTAGACCTCAGTAGATGAACATCTGAAAACACTAACTTGACACAATAGGCCCTCACATAAATGACAGAATGTATGAATTCCAGTGGAGGGGTGGGGCTAGGGGTGGGGTGCCAGTGGGGATGGGGGTAAAAAGATGATTACGACTAAGATGTTCTGTATGAAATACACAAAAATTCAATAAAAACAAATTAAAAAAATTATTTCCTTGAACTGTTTTCTCATAATGAAATTCTAAGATGTTCAACATGAGCCACATTATACATTGTGAGTAAATATAGACCATTTCTAAAATAACCAATGACCTCTTACCACGTGGAATATAGCAATGAACAAAACCAAAATGCCTATAATGTGATAACTACACAATGCTGATTTGCTCATGTATTTGCTTATATTATTTTTGTCTGGAATCTTCTTCAATCTGCTATTTGTATGGTCCACCCTTATTTATCTTTCAGGATTCACTGAAATATGAGGCTCTTTACTATTTCTTGTAACACCTATACTTATGAGGCTAGACCACATTAGATAAAAAGTATCCCTTTGTGCCGGGCGTGGTGGCGCACGCCTTTAATCCCAGCACTCGGGAGGCAGAGGCAGGCGGATCTCTGTGAGTTCGAGGCCAGCCTGGTCTCCATGGTGAATCCAGGACAGCTGGGGCTACAGGGAGACCCTGTCTCAAAAAGACCAAAAAAAAAAAAAAAAAAAAAGTATCCCTTTGTAAGTCCACTGTCTACCATAGTAAATTCTTTGAAATACGGAATTTAACTTTTTCCAGTATGTACACCCAGCATTCTAGCACTCAATGTATATGTTTTAAGATGGAGTATCATATATTTTAGGCTGGCCTAGAACTCATTATGTTGCTGAAGAGGATAGTGTTTTTTGTTTTTTTTGTGTGTATGTGTGTGTGTGTGTCCACGCTAATCAGTGACCTTCTAATGTCAAGTTTGAAGACCTCAAACCTTTTAAAATATATTTTTATTGATCCTTTGAGAATTTTATACATTGTGTTTTGATCATATTTAAACCTCCACCTTTCTACACCCTCAATTCCTGTCCTCTATATAATGCAGTTTTGACAGCATACACAAGCACAAATCAGACAAAATCCTAGGATGGAGGTAGGATGTGGGCATGAAGTCCCAGCCATACCTGAGAACTACTGGCAACTGACAGCTACTGGGAGAGGGAAAGTTAGTTTTCTTTAAGGGTGTGATGCCAGGTATATTGACTATGCTCCCAAAGACGGACCCATACACAAGAGTATTTGGAAAATACAAATTGGGCTGACAGACTTTGAATATCTAATCCTGATTCAACCTCCTGAGTGCTGAGATTATAGAAGTGTGACATCATGCCTGCTTTATGTAGTGCTAGGCATCAAACCCAGGGATTTGTGCATGGTAGGCAAGTATTCTTCCAATATTTCCAGCCCCTTAATATATTTTAATGAACCAAACCTCAGTTCTATTGCCCATCCAGGAAGAAATAATAACCAGTAAAAATGTCAGTGTGAGAAAAGAGACAGCAGCGTACTAGAGCCAGTTCTTAGTCAATAAGCAAAGGGAGTATAAAAAACTATGAAAATGCACAAATGGTCCTTGATGTAAAAATAAAATCCTTTCTAAAAATTACAGAAAAGTCTATCCCTAAACACAGGTTATTTTTTAAAATGGTTTAAGGACTGGAGAGATGGCTTAGCAGTTAAGAGCATTGGCTGCTCTTACAGAGGACCTGGGTTTGATTACCAGCACCTACGTGGTGGCTAACAATCATCCGTAACTCTAGATACAGGGGATCTGACACCCTCTTCTGGCCTCTTCTGGCATTGCACACATGTGATAGCACATACATATATGCAAGCAAAACTCTCATACACATAAAATTGAAAAAATAACAAATAAAGAAAATGGTTTAAGCACAAATACCTGAAAAGGGAAATATTACAGGTGATCAATCTGTGACTCTGTACAAGTTGAAACTCTTCCCTGATAAAAGATACCAGGAAGAAGAGAACACACATACTACTGCTCCTTTACTGACCTTTTTCCCACGTTTTCCTTTATGACGAGCATCCTTGTTGCCTTGGTCTGATGAAGAACCTGCCTGCCTGACATCGGTGCCAGAAGCTACCTTCAGTGGGTCAGAGGGGGGTCTTGTTCTTCCAGGGATTTGGAATTCATCTTCTCCTTCTGCCCTATTCCAACTGGCCTGAGGAGTAAAGGACTAAGATTAGCTTAAATGGTCTTTTCAGAAGACTTTCCTCTAGATACAGCACACCATGTGCTCATGATATACTTCTTTAAACATTAGTGTCTGAGAGTCAACAAATAACAACCTTTGTTTTGTTTTGGTGTGTGTATGTGTGTGTGTGTATGTGTTCATGTGTATGGCTGAATGTGTATGTCTGACACACAGTGCCCTTGTGGAGGTCACAGGACAGTCTTTGGGAGTTGGTCCTCACCTTTCCACCTTGTTTGAGTGGGGTCCCTTCCCTGCTGTGTAAGTAAGGCTAGCTGGCCAGTGCATTTCTGGAGCTCTCCTGTCTCTGCCCATCTCCTCATAATGGTGTCCTGGGATTACAGACGCTTGTGCTACTGTGCCCAGATTTTATGCTAGCTCTGGGGACCTGATCTCCGGTAGTCAGGCTTCGGTAGCAGGTGCTTCTACTCACTGAGCCCTACTCTAGACCTTGTTTCTATCTAAACTTTTGGTTTACTTCCTTATCAAACATCAAACCTCTTGAATTCTTTGATTTATAGAATATGGCTTAAAATGAATTTCAAAAGAAAAAAAGTTTAAAAGATAACTATCAACAGTTGTTTACATAAGTTATCTTTAAACTGGATGCTGCTACATTTAAATTAATGAAATGATGAATCTTAGGAAATAGATACAGCCTAGAATGAGTTCAAAGGCAATAAATTAACAAAAATTCATGTGTAACTATTTTGTATTGCTGGAAGGTCTTTTGTGTATTCTGTATTTAATACTATAGGTGTCTTGGTAGCACACACTACTGAATAAATGCTTAAAAGTAAATATTATAAAAAATAGTTTTACTTTACAGATGAAGTTCTAGAATAACAGAAAACTAAAAACAAAATAGAAAGAACTAAAAAATAAAATTGCCTAGAGAAGCATACTGTAACCTCACAGTTTATTTCTTTCTTAAAGCTCAAGAGCATAGTCGAATGAATGTAGAGGTGAAAGAAAAAGTCACTCTGTATTAGGCCTGTGAAAAACCTTTACATCTTACTTCAGTGAGTTACGACTTAATCTTGTCAACTTGATAGGATTTAGAATCACCACAGAAACAAATCTCTGGGCATGTCTACGGGAGATTATCTAATTACACTGAGGTGGGAAGAGCTACCCTAAATGTGGGCAGTACCATTCCATGGGCTGGGGTCCTGGACTGAATAAAACGGAGAAAGGGAGCTGAACCTTAGCATTCATCACTCTGCTTCCTGGCTGTGGATGTAATGTGACCAGCAGCCTCAAGCTCCTGTCTCCATACCTTCCTTACCATCACAGACTATACTCTTGAACTGTGAGCCAAATTAACCTTCCTTCTTGATGTTGCTTTTTCCAGGTATGTTGTTGCAGCAACAAGAAATTAATACACTAGGTCAGGAGTAAAACCAAGATGAGCCCAGATCCACCTGACCATGTTCTAAGCCCTTACAAACTCCTTTCTCTGAACATACAAGGCAGTATCAACCTATGTGAGAGTATACGCTTAGTTAACATTGCATAAACTGCTGGCTACTATAATGTACAGGCTTGTTGATCATCAAGTCACAGCTGAAAATAGCAACTACTTCACATGCGCGCGCACACCCACACACAGCCACACACACACGCACATAGAGACACACATACACAGAGACACACACATATATTTCTGCATCTATACTACCTTCTTAGGTATCTAATCTTTGTACTGTCCTGTTCCCACTCTTGGTATCTTACTATTTAACACAGTAACTGGTTAATAGTGGAATCCAAATGTCTGTGACTGAAAGAGAATATAAGATTACATTATCATAATGTCAAGTGCCTGACCACATAAACGCTTCCTCTTTTTTTTTGACAAAAAGCTACTGCACACAATGATCATACATCACTTTTTAATTGGGCTTTCTTTACTCACCATAAAAATAGCAATAATTCTGTCCACCAAAATGTCTCCTAAAATGCCTTTCATATACCTAAAATGTCCAAAAGTCATAATCTGCTAAAGCTAATTTCCTCCAGAATTTTATGATTTAGTCAGTCCAGCCAAACTGTAAAATAATGGTGGAAACAGCTGGCGCATAAATGCTAGCATATGCTAACACACAAATGAGTGTTTTATTTTCACCACAGCTTAATGAGATGGATGTTATTATTAACCCAATTTTATGGTATATAAACTAAAGAACAGATAAGTTCAGTAAGAGATGAGTTTAAAAGCTATTAAATTGAAGAACCTGGACCCAAACCTCGGAAATTTAACACCATAGCCTACAATCTTAACCACGAATTAAAGTAAATTCCCACCATGGAATTATGAAGAAGGAAATCAAATATTCTCAGTTTTCTGACTTTGAAGGTCATTACAATTCCTTTAAAAGCAGTAGTGTTCACCTTTAAGTAGATTTTTATCTTAACACAAGTTACCTGGAGCCGAAGGTCAGACATTTGTCTTAACAGATCCTCAAAGAGTTCTCGATCATCTTCTGGTAGCTCAGAGGACAAAACCACCCCTACAAAGCATCCTGCTGCTTGTAACATTGTGTCAGGGAACATGTAGGCTCCCACAGTACACTTCAGAACTGGAGATCTATCAGGAACCAGGGGATACAACCAGTCACATACCTGAAAGAAATAGATGAAAAAGGAAAATCAAAGAATATGATTGTTATACTGGAAAACAAACATGTCAGACCTTGAGAAGTGTTTTAAAGGTTCTACAGAACACCATCATCAGAAAATTCCCAATTTAAATAAATCATTTACTAGTCTGATAGTCCTGCAATAAAGACTGTGGAAAACCACCACTGACAATAACCCTAAGACTGATGCTCATAAATAGTCTGGTTTCATGATGTTTCTAGTTTTAAATAAAAGGTAATCAAAGTAAATTAAAGTTTCTTAATTGCAATTAGATCCTCTTGTGGTAATAAGCAAACTAGAATTGTTTTCTAGTGTTAGATAAATATCTACTTAATCCTCACAACAGTTTATGACACTGGATGGTATTAGTTTATTTTTGAGAAATAAATTTATATATAGTAATAGCATAACAAGTAATGTGCCGATGAATATATACTTTATAATGTTAAATCTATATGATAAATACTGTTATATAATGATAAATATATATTTTATAATGTTTAAATTAAGTTAAACATAATTACCTCCTCAAATATTCATCATTTCTTTCTGGTAAGTTTTCAGATCGTTTCTTCAAGCACAGGTAATTATCCACAGTCACCCTACACAACAGCACACCACAACCACTCACTCCTATGTAACTAACTTAGTACCCACTGATCAACCCTTCTCTTCCCATCTGTCCCCAAGCCCCTGGGCCTCTAGTGACCGCCATACTCCTCTCAACTTTTGTAAGATAGGTTTTTAGATTCCACAACAGTGAGATGTGTTACTTTGTCTGTGTCTGGCTTATTTTACCAAACACAATGGTCTCCAATTCCATGCAGTTCATGGTGAATCGTATTTCATTGTGTATATCTACCTCATTTTCTTCATCTAGTCATCATTACGAATCTAATCTATCCAAATCAGATAATGCTTAAAGTATGTCAGCTAGATCATATGAAATGATGCCAGGTAATTTGGGAATCTTAAAACACCTTGCATTTATTTAATATGTATTAGAAAAATATTTCTCTTTATTTTGCAGTTATTTATGATGGAATAAAAAAATCCGAAAATCAATAAAAAGATTAGTAACAGTAAGGATATAGAATTAACAAAAAATAAAAACTACTAAAATGAGTGAACCCTGGGAAAGATTTTATTATTCTATGATTTCTTTGACATTAACTATACCCTGTCATCTTGACTAACTGGAACATCCTAATCTTCTTAAGAATATATTATACACATTTCTTTGGATCGGTTCTTACAGACTGGTGAGCTTATTCTCTGTGTGCTGACTTCTCCCAGTTCCACTTTCAGAGGAAATCTCATGTCCATGGTTTGCATGAACTGCTTACAGATTTAATGGGTTTAAAACACATTGAAACTAAAACTGAAAGAAAAATCATTTTTGAGATCTCTGAATTCCGAATTTGCCTACTTAAAATAATCTTGCCCCCATTTCCCAAATATACCAATAATGACTTTTCATAGCATAGGAAATTTTACCTAATGTTTAATCCTTAACAGGAGTTTTTCTATCTATTTTGTAGGATAAATAAATTCAATAAACATGTTAACTGCTTTTAAGGGTACTTTGCTACAAATACATAATATATGTGAGTGACAGCCTATTAAATTAAATTTGGGATGCAAATTTACATTTGCTTAGGATCCAAAAAAGAAGTATGTAAAAGGTTAAAAGTCAAATTGAAATTAAGAAAGACAGATACAACAGTTGCTAGAATATAAAGCACCTTGTTCGTGGAGACCTGGGAACTAAGCACAGTGTTTCTTGTATTCATTCCTGCACCTCCACTTGCCAAGGACCCAAAGACTGTAAATTCCATGTTACAATGCAGCACTTTACCAGACAAGGAGAAATTGCTGTAGCTCCCATGAGCCCTTTCTCTAACCTAAATTGAGAAGCCAACTGTTTTTAGCCTTCTTTAAAATAACCTACTCAGTCATTCTTCTTATCCAGTAACCAACCTTTCTACAATATCCCAAAGTATCTCTTTCATACATCTCTAATAAGCTTCCAACTGTCTTTATGCAACTTTCAAGTTGACTTCCATGTCAAAGCTGCATGAGAACTGAGAGTCGGGGACTGGAGAGATGGCTCAGCAGTTAAGAGCACTGGCTGTTCTTGCAGAGGACCCAGGTGCAAATCCCAGCACCTACATAGGGGCTAACAACCATCCGAAACTCCAGTTCCAGGGGATCTAATGTCCTCTTCTGTCCTCCACAGGCACTGTATGACACAGGTGTAATTACACACATACAGGCATAACACTCATATACATAAAATAAAAATAAATCAAAATGAAATTTTAAAATAACAAAGTATACCTTAAGAGTGAATACAGATAACTAGCACCATAACTAAACTACTGGACCTAGACTTGGAGCAAAAGCACCTTTGTTTAAACAGTGACTGCTCTTCAATACAAGCTCCTTTGTTAAACTCAATGCACAGTGAGTTCTAATTCAAGAGTCCTGTCTTTGTACTTAGAGCCAACCTCTGGACTACTCCACCTTCAGGACACCTCACTAAATCCACAGCAATGCCCTGACACACACTCTTACTTAGTCTTTGCTCCTGGACCAACCACATTCTGGTCAATCTCTCTGTAGTTTGAGTTTCTAGATCAGGGGTTTTCAACCTTGGTCTCAGCATGACTAAGACTTAGGGATGGATAACTTTGTTCCTAATGATGGCTGTATTGTGTGGCTGTTAAGCAGTCTCCCTGGTCTCTCTATCTAATATGCCAGTAATAATCACCCTTTAGTTGTGACAAAAATGCTTCCAAGCACTGTCAAACGATCCCCTAAGGGGCAAAACTGCTCCTGGATGAGTAGTTCTAGGCCAGTTCAGGTTCTCAGGTGGACTTTGATAATCTTTGTGGATATTCACTGTTACAAATTACATGAATTACATAAATTCCTTTTGAAATTTAAGTAACTAGATTTCTTCAGCTAAAGAATGGAAAATTTGAGGCTGGGTGATGTGATCTCTCTCAGGTCTTGTCATCAATCACAAATAATACCCAAACACGATTTTATATCTTAAAAAAATGAAATCCCAGCAAGCACAAACATGGATGTTTAGAACTCATAAATTCCAGGCAACATACATAAAAGGGAAGAACTTTTAGTTTTCTGCTCTTATTCTGGACACATTATAAACATTAACAAATGAAAATGAGATAGTCTACATGTTTCAGTTTGGGCTTACATTTTGCTTTGGCTTACCTGAAGAAATCCAGGAGGGCGGTTCAGAACCGTATCGAGAGAATTATCTAAGAACCTCACGATTCGCAGGTACCCAGGGTATGAAGGGGCACTGACCTCTCCTGCAGGATTTACAAAAAAGATCTGTACTCCATTTGGTATCAAAATCAGCTCATCTGCATCTAGCCCTAAGGTTTCAAGGGGGGGTGGCTGGGAATGATTCCTATAGAAGTCTTCTCCAACTGATGAAAACTCGCCAGAATCTGTTCCATAGGATACAGTGTAGTGACCCTCTGCGGCCTGTGGCGTGTAAGCAGGCGGTGCTTCAGCTGGGCAGCTTGGTGATGGTAAGGAGAGAGAAGCAGTGGCTGGCCCTGCACTCGGAGCTGAAGTGTCCCCATTCACTTCAGCATGCTGAGGAGGTGAACTGACCGACTCAGGCTCTGCTGACTCTTTGCATGTGTCTTTAGGTGGAAATTCTGGATATAACTTGGGCACCTCCTGAAGATCATTCCGCAAAGAAGTGGCCAGACCCTTCTCTAGGATTTCTAACCGGGTGCGAACATTCTGAAGCGTTTCTTTCATTTTCTGCTGCATCTGTCTAGCAGATTCCCACCCAGGGCCGGTGTGCTCAGGCTCTGCTGATGCGATGCTGATGCCCCTGAGCAGGTGCCCTATGCCTTGCTTGTAGTAATTCTTTGCTTCTTCCTTCTGACCTAATTCATCAGTATTCAGTCCTTTATTAACAAATAAAAAGGCCTTCTTGTATGCTTCCTTGATGATCTTAATTTCAGCAGGTTCTCCATTTTGTGGTTCTTGCTCCATTTCTGGAAAATAGGAAATATTACCTGTAATTACCTCACTTAGCTCTTTGTTTACTTATTATCTTATTATTCCTCTTTCCTACCTGAATGTTTCCAAGGAAAGGAGCCTTAGTTATCTGTCCTGTTTATTACTGGATTCCCTAGGCCTACTCTTATCTCTGACACAGAGAAATCATTCAGCAACTAGTTGATGAATGGGTAAATTACTGCTTTTGGTTCTAAATATCATATTAAAAAATAAGACTGGGGGCTAAAAAGATTGCTCAGTGGTTAGAGCACTAGCTGCTCTTCTGGAGGACCTGTTTAATTCCCAGCACCCACATGGCATCTAACAACCATCTATAACTCCAGTTCCAGGGGGATCTGATGCCCTCTTCTGGCCTCTGTGGGCATTGCACACATAGGTGTACTTTACATACATGCAGGAAAAACACTAATACACATAAAATAAAAATAAATAAATAAAAGCTGAAGAGTAGGCTTGAGAGATGACTGAGCTGCCAAGAACACTTACTACTCTTGCAGAGGACTAGAGTTCTGTTCCCAGCACCCATGTTGAGTGGCTCACAATCACCAGTAATTCTAGCTCCAAGAGTTACTCTGGCACCTCTTCTGGCCTTCTCCAGCACCAGTACACACATGCAAGCGCGCGCGCACACACACACACACATGCACACACACAAATAAAAATTAAGGTATAAAATAAAAGAAAAAAAACTGAAGAGAAATTGTGATGTCACAATGGAACATTGTGAAGTCATATTGTAACATTGTGAAGTCATATTCAAACATTGTGGTGGCATATGGGAGCAATATAATGTCACATTGGAGGAGCCAGAAATGAGGGAGAAACTCAGAAAGAAACTGTAACATTGCTTGACTTCCATTTAAAGGTAGCAGGTTACACATGCAATTAGTCCTAATCCCTTCCCAAATCCTACTAAAATTATGTTCAAAAGATTATTTTAAAGGCACAAATGCTTTTCTTAATAATAGAGACCCAAAATTTAAACCCTGCTAGTGTTAGAAAACAAACGCTCCTATTTTACTGGCAAAAACTAAAAAAACAGCAAAATTTCTACTAAAACCAAATAATCACCCACTCTATGATCCAGCAATCCCCCTGTGAATGTTCAATGGAGAAATGGATGCATATGCACCCTAGAAAGATGCAGAAGTCCTTTCTCATGTGCCTCCACTTTCCATGGTTTCAGTTACATGTGGCTAATCATGGTCTGGAAATATTATATGGAAATTACGGAATTAGACCTGTTTAAGTAGCACACTGTTCTGTGCAGTGTCACAAAATCTCAGTCTATGCCACATAGAATGTGGCTAATCCTTGTGCACATCCACGCTGTGTATGCTACTCATCTGCATGAGTACACAGAATACTCAAGAGCCACCATGGCTTACTGGATCAACTGCCAGAGTACTCAGTGCTTGTGTTCAAGTGACCTTTACTCAATAAAGGGCCCAGAGCACAAGAAGAATAGTGATGCTGGCAATCTGGACATGCCAAAGAGAAGCTGTAACTACAGTTTTGAATTGAAACACTGAAAGTTATCAACTTAATAAAGGAAAAAAAAAATCAAATGCTAAGGTTCTTAAGAGCTAGAGCAAGAATGAACATTTTCTCTGGAAAACTGTGAAGGATAAAGAAATTCATGATAGTTTTGCTTTCACACCTCCAAATTCAAGAGGAGCCACAGTGTGTGGTATGGGCTTAGTGAAGACAGAAAGGCAGCTGGGCATGGTGGCTCACTCCTGTAGTCTCAGCACTTGAGAGACAAAGGCAGAAGGATTGATAAATTGGAGCCCAGGTTACGCAGCGAGTTCCAGGCCAACCTTGGCTATACAGTGAGACTTCATCTCAAAATGCTTTACTCCCCCCAAAAAATGAGAAAGAAAAATGAAAAACAGAAAGGAGGGTAAAGAAAGACAAGACATTAAATTTAAGGGTAGAAGACATCAACAGAAATGTACTCCAAGTAATGCAGTGTGTTGCACTAGAAAACCTTGATTGTACACAAAATCTCTAAGGGATGCTCTGAAACAAGTACCATCAAGCCACTTTCTGTAAATAAGGGGGTAGTAACACTGACTCGGCAGTAAGTCTGGACTGAGAATGTAAACGTGAGTAGAGAGGCGGTGCCTGCCAGTGAAAATCTGCTGCCACAATCCTGACTGAAGCAAATTAAGGAGCAGACACCATCCAGCACAAGGCTTCAAGTGTGATGAAACCTGGCTGTTCTGAAGACAGCTGATAGAATCTATGGTCACATAAGTGCACAAAACCTGGAAGGACAGACATCTTTTGATTGCAATACCCTTCTAGAAGGTCTTAGGAAAAAATGCTGAACTGCATAGGATCCCCAGCCATGGTCATCAAGTACTCTGGCATCCAACAATCAACATGTTCACAGTTCAAAGAGCTTAGATTACTCAAAGCAAATGACCCATTCAACAGTGCATCAGAAGTTCAGTAATAGTCTAATACCATGTCCAAATTCCTACTTCATTGACCTCATTCCATCTCATCCCATAGGCATTGTTTTATCTCATGTCATCATCAGAAGGACGAGTCGAGTACAGGAGTATAGTTTAAGAGAGAGACCAACTATATGACCTTTATTCAAGTACACTGTAATTCTCCTGTTTTATTATTAGTTTGTTAATTTCTTGTCATGCCTAATTCATAAAAATTTTAGGTTTTCATTGGTATGGATATATAGGAAAACAGTGCACCGAAGTTCAGTATTAGCCATGGTTTGAATCATTCACCCATGTCTGGGGCCATAATTCCCATGGTCAGTGTGTGTATGTGTGCATGTGTGTCTACATGCTTGACACAGTAAAGGCTCACAAAGAGTAATAAATGCCTAATATTAAAGGTAAAGATGAATGCGATGTGATTTGGTTGAAATGGAAAATATGCAAGTAGATTTTAAAACCCTACAATTATAATAGCATAAAGAGAAAGAAGTAGACCATTCAAGGGATGGTGAAATGGTTGATAAAAAGCTTGGTATGCAAGCACCAGGACACAAGTTAGATCCCCAGAACCCATGTAAAAAAGCCAGGCACAGCACACACATGTAACATCAGTGGTGGGGAGGCGGGAGATGCCTGGAACTCACTGTCTAGGCAACTGAGTCTAAGAGCGACCCTATCTCAAAACAACAATAACAAAACAAAACAAAACGGAGGATGGTGGCTCTTGAGGAATAACACCCAAGGCCAATTTCTGGTCTCCAATGCATGCACACCCACATATGAGTGTACCCACATGCATATAACAAAAGAAAAAAAAGGAACATTCATAAAAGACATGCATGTACCCAAAGAGGACAAAAGTTTAGCTTTTAGAAATTAAACATAAATAGCTAAAAAGTAAACTCAGTAGAGAGATAAAAATGTTATAAAATGACAGTAAGTGTTGAGAATACAGCGTAAGAAGATAAAGGGATGAACAATGGGGAAGAATCAAAATATCAGGAGCTAGTCTAGAAGGTCTGGCAATGGAGTAGTAGATCGATCTGCAACACAGAGAAAAAATAATGTGTGAAGGATGAAAAGAAACAATTCACAGAAAGTAGATAATCCAAAAATAGAAGCACAAATTTCCAGACTTAAATGGATCACTTGTCAGAGGCTGAAAAGCAGGCTCAAAGTGGCAGTCTTAAAAGATGGGGTGTGCTAAGGAATGTCTTAAAGGCAACAGGTAGAATTCAGGGGAAAATGACACAATTAATTCATAATTCTCAGAAAAGTTACTTCCATATCCAGCCGAACAGGATGCTCAGGTATTGCAGTTTCCTGGATTCTCTGTTTGGTGAAAGGAATCCCAGGGATGATGATGGAATTCTGAAGATGACTATTATGCAACATATCCAGAGCAGAATACCCTCAAGAAAACATGTCTTCAGGAACAAAAATTGATAGAATACCTAACATTTTTCTAAGCTTTGGAGAGATTTACACAATCTTGGGAGAATTCACAGTTTAGTGATAATGGAAACATTAAAAAATAATTTATGATTCTTATGTGTATGAGTATATTGTCTGCATGTGTGTAAGTGCATCTATGTTGTGCAATGCCTGCAGAGGTCAGAAGAGGGTGTTGGAGCCCCTGGAAACGGAGTTACAGACAGTTGTTAGCTGCCATGTGGGTGCTGAGAATCGATCCCGGGTCCTCTGCAAGAACAGCCAGTGTTTCTAAACGTTGAACCGTCTCTCCAGCCCTGACACAGTTATTAACTCCAGGGAACACGATTGTCAAACAAGAAATAAAAATAATAACAGTACCCTTCATTTCATTTTTATTGGTGTCATGTAATATAAATAATGCACCAACGCTAGCACAATGATACATAAAGCATGCTGAGAAGACAGGAAGACGGGTGAACAGAAAGCTGTGTACATGTGACCAGCTGAGGATGAAAGAGCCAAAACTTCATCTTTTCTACTAGCGAGTTAATTGGCAATACCGAAACCTGATAAGGAAAAGGTAGCAATGTAAGCATATTGCCGAGAGATAGAGAAACACCAAGAATCGCGTCAGAAAACTGATACAAGCGGCCTTATGGAGACGGTGATGTGGTGGTAGAATTTCTGAGTGTTACTGCAAATCTTGCAAAGATATTTAATTCTTTACGTACATGACAAAAATTAAATTACTAACTTTAAAAGAGTAAATACAAACTTTACAGTAGCCTTGTCCAGCAGAATTATACTGTGAGCCATATAAGTAATTTTATTTTCCAGTAACTTCACTAACAAGCTAAAAATAGATGAAATTTCAATGACAATATTTTATTTATCCAAATATATCCAAATATTATTCCAAGGTGTAGTTAGTATGAAAATTATTAGTGGGATATTTTGCCCTTTCTTTGGATTTCATCTTCCAAACACAGTCTATATTTTACTTAAAAGTACATATCAATTTCAACAAATTCCACTGCAAGCACTCAACACCCACATGCACCTAGAACCTATCACTGTTGGACACTGTGGACTTTACCATGATAGGAAAAGTTAAGTGATTTAAGAGTGTCTCCACGGAAATCCACACAATGAAAGCTCTGCAGAAACTGTAGTCTCCTTTCAGTTCTAATATAATCATACTTCTAAAACTGAAAATTAAAGCACCGGTTGGCATTATCACACAGCGACTTCACGGTCATGAACACAGCACAGTTCGCCCCCACTTCAGAAAATATCATATACAACTGACCATATACAAACCCATCACATTTGCCTTACTCCAATTACCTATCAAAATTAATTACTCCCTTTCCACAGATCCTAAGTGTTTCTCAACTCAGAAACCATGGGACAAACATTCTACATTTCACTTCCCTTAGGGCACAAAGAGGCCTAGACTCTGGGGTGCACAATTTGATACTGTCATCTACAAATGTGCTGGGCTACCTTCACAGCTATGAGGGCTGGCCACAGGTTGAGTACGTCTGATTAGAATAAAACAGTAACATGACAGCAGAAGCCTACCACACTTCTAAGCACAACTAAGTGCTTATCAAGTATCTTGAAAGGATAAAAAAGTTATTAAATCATTTAATTTTCAAAGTTGGGAACAGAAGAAAAAGTCTTTGATGTGTCAATCTGGAGTATTAAATAAACAATACTTACAGTAGTTTAATAGTCAACTTATGAATCAAACCTGCTTCCAGATAACAATGGCCTACTTAAATTGCATTATTAAACATTTTCTAAAAACATTTGTGTATATGTGTACAAATGCTGGCATGTATGTGCCACAGCGCACATAGAGGCTAGAGGACTCCTGCAGGTGTAGATCCTTGCCTTCCACTTTGAGAAAGGTCTCTTGCTTTTTATTCTGCTGCAAAGCCAGCCTAGCTTCTGGGGATTCTCCTGTCTCTGTCTTCCATCTCCCCAAAGGAGTGCTGAGGGGTCAGCCATCCTGCTGCACAAGCTTTGTATAGGTTCTGTGGATTTGAAACAAGGTCTTCAGGCTTAATGCTTTACCCACAGTGCCATGCCCCCAACCCCTATTAGAATATTCTAACAGATTTAGGAGGTACCTACTTCAAACATAACTATACGCATGTGTATGCTTTACATTTGTACCAGTGAAAGTAAAATTCCAAATCAAAATGCCCGGTAACATGGTTCTATCATGTGAACAGTGAAAGTAGTAAACAACGTGCTTAGGGGCCACACCGCAGTCTTTAATACAGCATCCATCTCCTAGATCTGGCAATGGAAGACGCTCTAATGCCAGCATGCCTGGCCCTTTACAAAACAAGGGGAAAGGATATGGGATTATTTAGATTATATACCAACAAATTATAATTGTTAATATATGTTGTTACAGATATAAACTGTATCTATAGGGTTACAAAGTGTTATGTTCTGATTTTTTTAAATTTAGTTTTATTATTTTTAATTACCTGTGTGTGTGTGTATGCGCACACACACTTGAGCAGAGGCGTTGGAAGCCAGATGTTGGATCGCCTGGAGCTGGAGTTACAGGCAACTGTGAGCCATCTTATTTAGGTTAGAAACTGAACCCTGGTCCTCTGCAAGAACAGTAGTCCTGGTAACTGCTGAGCCATCTCTCTAGCCCCAATACTCGGATTTTTTTAACTCAGTAGGAAAGATGAAATCAAGATAAGTAACCTCATCACCTCACATATCTAACATTTAAAAAAATGAGAACATTTGAGACTTCATCTTTTATTGAAATGAACAATATTCCATGATTATTTGCATCCACCAGGCAATAAAATAGATCTAAAAATGAAATCACTTTCTCATCCCACTGAGTTGGGGAATGTACAGTTTTCCTTATGCTTGTATTTAACTCCTGTACCAGCCTACCCAATTCTGGCTTGTTAGGAAAACTGTTTCAGAATGTACCACATGTGCAAAGCAAACCACATACCACATAACATAAACGTTTTCTGCTTCAAAGAAGTCATATAAAACCACCCAATTAAGTCAATTAGAAAAGCGCATGTCAATAATAGTTCACTTTTAACTAAGAGCATTCTTCTAGTGCCTTCGATTATTTATTCACTTATTTTGCTTTTGTAATTTAAAAAAAGTTGTTAAAATCTTAAATATTTGAGGTCATTTTATCGAGACAATGAAAATTTGAAGGCAAAACTCATTAACTTTATACAAGCAAAGCAAATCTCGGGGATCCTCAAGAAACTACGAGATCAATTCATCACAATCAAGCCGACAAACCCGGCCAACCCACAGTAACGTCACAAACCACGCGCATTCCGGGAGAAAACTTTTCCCAGACATGGAATCAGACCACTAGAATCGTCTGTGACACGCACAATCCCTAGTAAACTATCAAAATGTATTCCAACGAGCCTACCATCCCCAGCTGGAGGCTCGCGGGGCTATGTGCCCACTCTCTGAGAAGGTGGGCCCTGGTGGGGAGAGAACAGCAAGAGCAGTTCAGGAGCGAATCGCAGCAGCAGGGGTGCGCGGGGCTGGGGACAAGAACACCAGGGATGCCCGAGGACCCGGGGCAAGAACACCAGGGGTGCGTGGGGACCCGGGACAAGAACGACACCAGGGTGTGCGGTGACCCGGGACAAGAATACCAGGGGTGCGTGAGGTCTACAGCGGGGGTTGGCAGGACCCGCACTAGGGACGCGAGGTCCCAGGACAAGAACACCAGGGATGCGCGGGGTCCACGGTGGGGCCCGGGATGGGAGCTGGGCTCCGTGCCAAAGGGGTCCGGGGCAGGGAGGGTGAAGGCTCCTACGGTACGAGCTAGGAGAAACTCGGCAGGACTTCTGGAAACTTCTCCTGGAATGGCTCCCCACAGGGCTCCGGGCTCCCCGCAGAGCTCCGAGCTCCCCCGCCCCGCTGCCACTCACCGGCCGCCAGCGCCTTCCGGGGCTCGGCCCGCGCCCCCTCCGCCCAGCTCACAAAGCGCCGCGTCAGGTGCCGCCGCCCCAGGCTCCGTGACGCCCACTCCGGCGTCCCGCCTGCCACTCGTCACCAGTCAGGCCAGCGAGCTGCAGCACTCTGACCTTCTAAAAGGTGGGCGGGAGGACGTCAGGACGCTCGGAGCTCGGGAGCCAGCGAGAGAGAAAGAGCGAGCGCCGGTCTGGAGGGATTAGGCCGCGGCCCGCACTCCCCAGTCTGGGCCCGGCCACGTCTGCCACCGCGCCGGCGCACTGCCGCCAGACCGAAGTGGGGCCGCGAAGAGGGACCCGCGAGTCCTGGGCGGAGAGAGCCTGTGGCCGCTAGGGGGAGCCTAGGTCGGGCACTGTGTGCCTGGGAAAACAAAAGCTAGCAACTCGAAAACCCTGAATTTCTGACTACCTTATCCAAAGGACAGTTAACTTCCTTAAGTCTCAAGGACGGGGAGAGGGGTGTACCGCTAGCATAGAACGTGTTCAGTTTATGACTCATAAAGAAATCACGGTACCAATATCGGGTGATGCGATGCTAAAAGGGACTGAAGTGAGCATACTTCTTTCAAAAGTTCTTTACGTGAAGTAAAAGGCTGTAATGACAGGTTTGTAGTACTGAATTGGCCTACCTTAAAACCCCATTTGTACTGTCCTGAATGTTTAGTCAGGTAACTTGTCTAAGGATACTAGTGACCTGTTTCAGATGAATGATTCCCCATATTAATTAATGATGGGGATTATTGGGTAACATGCAGAGAAAAGAGCTAAATTGAAAATTAGAGGTCTTTTGGTAGTTCCTGCAAACCTCAGAAAGGTAGCAGTCATCCTAGGAGGTGAAAATTAATACAGTGCTGTAAAATTATTTTACTTTAGAGCTGCTAATGGAGTTCTGAAAACTGTAGGTGTGTGTCTTCTCCCACATTTTCAGACCGACAAGCTTTTCATCTAATTTAACTAGTTGCAAAGGATGATGTTTTCAAATAAAAGTTATATAACTATTAAATACCAATTTGATATCCATTTTATCATCAAAATTAAAACTACCTGCACAAGTTTTCTTAAGGAAGAAATTTTAGATCATTCAGTTTCTCCATTTTCAAAGCTTTTTTTATTGAGAATTTTATACATACATGTGTGTTTTGATCAAACCTTCTCTCATTCCCTCCCCTCCATTTTCCCTTCAACTCATGCTTCCATTAATTTTATACATGTTTGAAACTATCAAAGATAAAATTAAAGTATATGAAAAAGTTTTATCAAAAATATTTTTTCTTTAAAATATTTTATTGATGATGAACTACTGTACATAAAAATAAGTATAGAAGTCTAAATATTTTTAAATTTACAGTCACTGTAAAGATTAAGGTGCTTAAAATATTTATATTTATCTTTTATACACAAGCTATGTAGATACAGATAATCTTAAAACATTTGTCACAAAACTACTGAAACTCATAAAAGAGCTCATCAAGGTTGCAGGATGAAAGCTAAACCTGCATAAATCAACATTAGCACATACAATGAATGATTTAAAAGTGAAATTAAGAATTTCATTCACAGTGTTTTAATGAAGAATAAGGTATTTCTAGTCAGGCATAGTGGCACCCACCTCTAATATCAGCATTTGGAAGGCAAAGGTAAGCAAGTCTCTGTGAATTTAAGGCCAGTCTGGTCTACATAGCAAGTTCTAGGGCATACAGGAGCTTTGTAGTGAGACCCTGTTTCAAAAACAAAACAAACCCACCCACAAACAAAGGAAAGATTGAGAGTAGATTTAATGAAACAAATGTAAGGTTTGTACACTGAACACTATACAACATTGCTTCAAGAATTTAAATGGAAAGGTGTTTGTGTTCATTGAAAGACAATATTGTGGAGATGACAATAATCATGAAATGGATCTTCAGATTCAACATAATTCCTTTCAAGATCCTAGATGTCTGTCATAAAATTAGCAAACTAATACTAAAATCCACAAAATTTATAGAAATGCATATGACCCAGAATAGCAAAAGCAATCTTGCAGTAAGGAGGAGGAGGAAGAAGAGGAAGGGGGAGGAGAAAAAAAACAACAACTAGATTTACACATCCCAAATTCAAAACTTTTAACTAAGGTGCCAAGAAAATTCAATGGGAAAGTCCTTTAAACAAATTATACAATTAGATACCCATGAATAAAAGTTAATCTGGACACCCACTTCATGCCATACAAAAAACAGGTCACAGATCTGAATATAAATCTAAAACTACAAAACTGTAAGGAGAAAATATAACTTGCCAGCTTATCTGGTTAACTTCAGGAACATGTATAGATAGTAGCATCTTAGAACTTTTTATTGCATAAGCAAAAATAAAATAAAATAAAATGGTTAATTTGACTTCATCAAGTTGGACTTCTGCTGTTCCAAAAACGTTGCCAGAGAATTAAACCTCCACAGATTATGAGACACTATTTGTAAGTTATTTTTCATTTGTATTTAGAACACATAAAGAACATAACTCAATAATTTGTAAAAGTAACAAAAATGAATAAAGGATTTGAATAGGAATTTCTTCAAACAAGATAAACAAATTACTAAAAAGCACATAAAAAATGGCCAACATCATTAGTCTTTAGACTAATACAAATCAGAACGAGGTGTAAATTCTCTCTCATTACAATGGCCATAATCAAAAGAGATAGGCAACAGGTTGTTTTGCAACCTTCATGCCTGACTGGTCAGAATGTAAAGTAATGGAAAACGATTTGGCTTTAAAAAGTTAAGCATAGGAGTACCGTATCAACCTGTAATTCCACCCTACACAGAATTGTTTCCCTTGATTCAAATAATTGAGTAATTATTATAAAATTCCTTTCACTCTCTTGACACAACCTAGAATCATCTGGGAAGAGAGTCTCAAAGAAGATAAGAAGGCAAGTTGAAAACATGAGTTTGAATCTCCAGCTCCGCCAGAAAAAGCCAGGCATGGCCATACCATAAACTGTAACCTCAGCCTGACAGGAGGATCACCTGGAGCTTGCTTGCTCTCAGTTTAGCACCAGGTTCAGTGAGACACCTTGGGTCAAGGGAATAAGGCAGTATGATAGAGCAGGACACTAGATATCTTCCTCTGATCTCTGCAACTTGCACCCACAGACAACACACACACACACACACACACACACACACACACACACATACACACACACATAAATTATAATGATAGTAAACTCGAGGTTATCAATATCAAATTAGGAAGCTAAAACAAAACTTCCTAAATTATATAGAAAGTTAATCTTGACAAGCCAATCTAAAGGAAAAGATGAAATTTATTCTCTGTAAAACTTTACAAATCAGTTAATGATGATCTCTAAAAAAAGAATTGTTTAGACAAGTTAGAATCAGAATTTATTTGTGAATCAGAGCAACAGCACTTTGTGAGAATTCCAATATAATCTGACAGCATTCATATACAAACAGAAGACATCCTAGAGCAACTCCAGTCTAGTTAGTGAGTTCATTGGTTACATTTAACTAGTTGGTTGCAGCTTAATTAATTAGTTACAGGGCATTCTACAACCCAGCAAAGCTTGGTTACTATGATTAAACTCTATGTTGGTTGATTCCATCCATCGGGCCCAAATCCAATGGTACATGATCCAAAGTTCAATGCTGCACCTCCCAATTTTGTTTAATACTATAAGGGAGGAAAAGGTATAAAAAAAGTGTTCTGAGAGATGTCAGTTATCAAAATAATGAAAGAATTTTATTATTTTCATGAATTTTGCAGTGTCTAGAGTATGGATCCACTTGCTAAAATTTGTAATATTATTTACTTATTTATTTATTTATTTATTCATTTATTTATTTATTTAGTCTTTTTTGAGACAGGGTCTCCTTGTAGCCCCAGCTGTCCTGGAACTCACTATGTAGACCAGGCTGGCCTAGATCTGCCTGCCTCTGCCTCCCAAGTGCTGGGATTAAAGGCGTGGACCACCATGCCAGGCTAATTTGTAATTTTTAATGATTTACTTTGTTTCTATCTTGGTATTCTTAAAGTCATGCAAATTATATAATCAGCAAGCACTACACAACTTGCATCTGTTTGAGTTGAAATGATGCTTGAGATTAGCAGGAAATAATCACTTATCTTTGGAAACATGTGGAAAGATCTTTTTAACAATCACTATATCTTACTGAGGTGAACAAAGGCTCAGGTTTTCAAATCAGACCAGCAGGAAGCAGCACTTTTACTCAGTCACAGAGGAATAATGAAGAAGTCTGAAATGCCAACCCATCCCCAGGATGAGCTGCTACCTCCATAGAACACACTCTGGCCAGTGACACAGAACATGAGCTCTCTAAGTACAATGCCAAATACTACGAAACAGAGCTATTTCAACCATGTATTCTTTTTATAGTTACATAAAAATGTGACTAACATTGAGATTTTCTAGGCAGTGGCATCCTGTGTAGCCCTAAAACTCAGGTCTATTTATCAAAGCCATTTGGACAGTCCAGATGTGCCTTGCTGAAGCATTTCATAGACTAGCATATACCTTGGTTCAATTAGCATATTTTCATTGAGGTTTGACTTAGTCATTTCCATCTGAGCATTCCAGGGTAGCTATAATTGATTACAGTGTTGTGCCCAGAGAACGGATCCCCAAGAATTACCACGGAGTCCAGAGAGCATGCCAGAACAAAGAGGCTTTATTCAGGCTTAAGCTCGGACTCTCAGACCAAACTAACATGGTAGGCTCATCTGAGAGCCCCGATAGCAGGGGGAGGGAGCTTTTCATAGGTTTCAGACAAAGGGAGGAGGGGAATGACAGAGTTATATTTTGATTGGTCCAAAGAGCCCAAGCACGAACATACTTTTGAATTGATTGGTTACAGTCTTGGAGGCTTCTTCATTGGTGGGTGCTGCCTTCAGGGCTGTGGAATGTGCTGTTATCTTAAGGGCTAGAGGACCCTGTTTATTCCTTATAAGGCCTCAAACCTGCCCAGGCCCCCTGGACATGCTTGGGCTTGCCTAGTCTATGACCATGAGACATCACAAAAATGGAGGAATCAGCAGTCAAAATGGAGACAGTGCAGTTTGTCCCTCTGGTTCCCTCAAGCCAAGCGATTTACAGAAGTGAAAAGAGCAGTTAGTCCTAAATAGGGGCAGGGGTCTAGGGAGTCCGGGGGAGGGGGCCAAGGAGGAGGGTTCCACAACAGATCAGTTGCTAAACTTAACTGTTTTTTTTCACCCAAATTAAATCGAATGTATTCTTACCAGGCACTCAGGA